AGCTATCAGAATCAAGTCAATCTGATTCCAAAGGAAAACCTCGTGAAAGTGTTAATTTGATTGATGTGGTAAGAGAAACATTTGCCATTTTTCTACTTTCACCTGTACATCATTTGATTACAAACTATGAGATTTATTTGTGCTGAATGTTAACAGACTGATCAATATCATCCCGTCTGGGGTGAGATGGACAACTACACTGTTGGAAAAGAAAAGAGGAAGCAGTTACTTTTAATGCTCTGCCAGCATGAAGCTGATAGGCTTGACGTTTGGGCACAACCTATTAGCTCAAAGTAAAACTATTTCATCTTTGACTTTCACTTCTCAGTTGTTTTGTTTAACTTACATTGTTGATATTCATTTTTCCAAGTGGCAATGTATATATAGGGACAGTCCATATTCGCGGCTGAAAATAAGCTCTGAGAAATGGACCGAATATGCTAAAACAGCCTTTTCAGTGGATCCTCGCATTGCTTTATCAGTCGCCTCAAGATTTCCGGCAAATGCTGCTGTTAAATCTGAAGTCACTCAGCTGGTTCAGGTATGAATTTACAGCTGCTACTTCCTCTAAGACTGTAGAAATAAAGTTTTTTTTTTTTACATTTTGTAGTCTGAGATGGTATACTGTTCACCTAGTATATTAAGCTATAAATGAGCTGGTGTTGAACCACCCCAAAAAACTTGTGAGGCATGATACATCTAGAAATAAGTATGCTATGGTACTTTTAGTTAAAGATTTATTGAAAACAAAAACGTATGTTGAGAATCCGATTACTTGCTCTGACTTCTTAGGATAAAAAGTACAATTTGATATTATGGCTTACATTTTATAATTAGTGAAATGATGTAAAATGAGTTTTCTCACTGTTACTCTTTCCTGCAGACACATATAGTAGATCTTCGTACAATTCCTGAGGCGTTGCCGTATTTTGTTACACCTAAAAATGTTGAAGAGAACTCAGTGCTGTTGCAGCAGCTACCACACTGGGCTGCTTGTTCAATTACACAGGCTCTTGAGTTCCTCACTCCTGCTTATAAGGGACATCCACGTGTCATGGCATATGTTTTACGAGTATTAGAGTCTTACCCTCCTGAACGAGTTACCTTTTTCATGCCGCAACTGGTGCAGTCTTTGCGCTATGATGATGGGGTTAGTCTTATCATGAAAATCTATATATTTATCTCACCTGCCTCGCTTTCCCTCTAAGCAAGTTGGGGGTTTAATTATATCATTCGGTTTGTGCGCGTTAGATTTAGTGATTCATCTTAGTACGTGAAATTATATAATATATAGATTTCAGTTGTAGTCTATTTTAGTTTTCATATCTGGTTTTTACTTTCTCTTTTAGTCTTGAGATTAGAAATTCTGCATTCGATATATATTGCAGCAATTCCGGGAACTCATCCAACCAGGGTACCAAAAATTGGAATGATCAGCCTATATTACCTTTTCTTTTCTTGGCCTTTATCTGAACCAAATTACTTTTCCGTTTTTTACATTAGTATTGGATTATCAGCTTGACGTTTTCGAAAACCATGTCTAGTCTAGCTGTCGTTGGGCCACTCATTCCTTGAGGTTTTTCCCAAGGGTTTTTCTTGTCGCAGATTTGTTTTCAAATCCTACGAAAATTACACTTCTACTAGGGATGGATATTGTGTAATGCCTTACTTGAGTTCTTTCTTTTTCCTTGTTTCCTGTGATGTTTAACAGTACAACTTCTTTTTTGAATGCAGAGGCTAGTTGAAGGGTACCTTCTCAGAGCTACCCAAAGAAGCGACATATTTGCTCATATTCTCATTTGGCATTTGCAGGTGAGTTTAACCTAGTAGACTTTGGTATATCTTAATTTTGCTTGTAACCTTTATGGAGATTTTGTTGATTTTTAAGTTCTATCTTTTATAATGCCAGGGTGAGTCTGTTCAGGAAACTCCAAAGGATGGTTCTATTGATAAGGTTCGCCCATTATTACCTTTTTCTGCTTATATCGCGTGAGTGTTATCTTCAATGTGGGCTACATCTTACTACTCCTAGGATAGTATAGTATTTATGTTAGTGCAATATGTAGCTAGACTATCTCTCACAACACTGAATTATATTGGAATCTAGTGCAATCTGCTGGCCTTAATTCAGAAAATTAGTATCCTGCAGTTGCAATATATGGCCTCCTACAGAAAACATCTGTGAATTCTTCTGGTTAGGTTATTCTTTACATGTTAACAACGCTGGAAATATCCTTGATTCACCATGTTGACCGCTGGTTATAAGCGCAGAATATCAAGATCTGAAAATGAGTTTTATGACTATTCATTATACTGTAGCATAAGTTTGTTATTGGAAAACATCTTTTCGATAAAATTTGTAGTGAGACAGAAAGTAGGTCGTTAAGCTATAGAATTTGTTGTATATCTTTTGGCTGATATGCTGATAAAATCTAAGCTCTTGTTTCCGTAATATTTCAGAATGCGGCATTCCAAGAAATTTTGCCAGAGGTTCGGCAGCATATTATTGATGGTTTCAGTCCCAGTGCCTTGGACATGTTCACTAGAGAGTTTGACTTCTTTGACAAAGTTACTTCTATTTCTGGGGTGTTATTTCCTCTCCCAAAGGAAGAACGCAGAGCCGGTATTAGAAGGTAACATTTGAAATTTAATAAAACTGTATCATGGTACGGATGGATCTGCATCTGTTGGATGCAAGGTAATCTAATACTTTCCATGGCAGGGAGTTAGAGAAAATTGAAATGCAAGGAGATGACCTTTATTTGCCAACTGCTCCTAACAAGCTTGTTAGGGGTATTCGTGTAGACAGTGGAATACCTTTACAATCAGCTGCCAAAGTTCCTATCATGATAACCTTTAATGTTGTTGATCGTGATGGTGACCACAGTAATGTAATACCACAAGCTTGCATTTTTAAGGTAAGCCTTTGCATGATTATATACAATTTCTTTTTTGTATGTAGGTAGGTTGACATAAAAACTATTCTGCCGTGATGTTGATTCTTAATTTTTTATAGTATTTGCCAGTACAAAGAAAATGAATCAATTCTCCTATCTTTCTCTTCCACTTAATTAAAGTAAAAATAACACAGAAAACAAACATAGCCAGTGGTATCTAGACATTGCTGCACCCAGTTGGTGTTTACTGTGAGTTTGATGATTCTCTCTTGTATTTATTTAGGTCGGAGATGATTGTCGGCAAGATGTTCTTGCCCTTCAAGTGATATCTCTTCTTAGAGACATATTTCAAGCGGCTGGTATTAATCTTTATCTTTTTCCATATGGAGTACTCCCAACTGGTGCCGAGAGGGGGATAATTGAGGTATCACTCACTCTGAAATGTTTAATATTAAACCCATTTTCCCTTGCGAGATAAAATAGAGAAGGTGGTATGAGAACTTTCTTGTATATAATAAGGCTTATACATTTGTGTTTCTCTTTTCTTCCCTTTTATTACAGGTTGTGCCTAATACGAGAAGCAGAAGTCAAATGGGTGAAACTACCGATGGGGGTCTGTATGAGATTTTTCAACAAGACTATGGACCTGTTGGCTCAACCACCTTTGAAACAGCACGAGAGAACTTCCTCATCAGCAGTGCTGGTTATGCAGTTGCTAGTCTTTTACTCCAGCCCAAAGACAGACACAACGGAAATCTCCTCTTCGATGAGTATGTTTCCTTTTTATGCGATTTCTCAGTGTTCTCTCTTAGTGAGTTAGTGGAATGAAAAATAATCAATTTATGGACAATATAATGTGGGAGAAAATTCAAGGAAGTAACACAACTTTATTACCATGTGTGTTATGCTTGATGCAGCGTGGGAAGACTTGTCCACATCGATTTTGGATTCATCTTGGAAACTTCACCAGGAGGAAACATGCGGTTTGAGAGTGCTCATTTCAAACTGAGCCACGAAATGACTCAGTTGCTAGATCCGTCAGGTGTAATGAAGAGCAAAACATGGCATCAGTTTGTGAGCTTGTGCGTAAAGGGATACTTAGCTGCTCGGAGGCAGATGGACGGAATCATCAGTACGGTGCAAATGATGCTAGAAAGTGGATTGCCTTGCTTTAGCAGAGGAGATCCAATCGGTAACCTTAGGAAAAGATTTCACCCAGAAATGAGCGAACGTGAAGCTGCACACTTCATGATTCATGTCTGTACGGATGCATATAACAAATGGACTACTGCTGGGTACGACTTGATTCAGTATTTGCAACAAGGCATCGAGAAGTAAAGAACACGAGAGAAATTTGCAGGTAAAAAATTCATTAAATCATCCGAATATTCCGATTTGTTAATTTTTATCTCCTTTCGGTGGTTGGACATTCTGACTAATTTATTGTAAGAGAGGAACTTTGAGGGTTTTGCTATGCAAAGAAAAAGAAAAAAAAAAAGTAACAAAAGAAAAAGGTAGGAGTGTATTGTGGTGTGTGGGTTTTCTTTTAGATATGTGAAGTGCAAGCTATTATGATATATCATAGCATATATGATCTGTGATATCTTCATCTTAACCAGTTTGTCTCATCAATGGATGAACTATAGTAACGTGTTTCTTTTAAAATAGCGTGCAAGCATTGTAAAACAGTAGTGTATTTGATTCAATGGATGATGATAAGCTCATTCTACGTACTGTATATCATCCCCTATTACACCAGAAGAACCCCTTTTAGAATCAAACGATCTTCAGCATCAGACACTTATGGTAAGAATGATTAAATATGTAATTAGCTAAGGTTTTACATATCACAAATCAGATAATATGGTGGTTGGACTTGGTGGAGTCTTTGAGAAAATACTCAGAAACTCTTTCGCGGTGTGGATTAATATAAGATACCTTTTAGGCCCCTATTTTCAGTGTCAAACAAGTATTATTAGATCATAGAATTGATGTAAGGTTATTTGCTTTGTTTGTCTTGAGCTACATAGAGCTTTTTCTGATATAATCCAATAGGCCATGAACAACTTTCGAAATCGTTCCTGAATAAGTCAGTGGCACTTTCTCAGCAGTCAGCACAATATATACACTTAAGTTATACTAGAAAGTGACCCCAAAGAAAAAGAAAAAAAGTGTCAATCAATTAAGGTCAACTCAAGAGTTAGAGACAGAGAAGAACAAAGACAGAAGAGACTTTGTGACTTGAGAGGGAGAGAGAACAGAGAAAAGTCGTCTTTGAGGGTAAACCAATGGAACCGGTGATAATCGGTGCGCTAATATTAGATGTTCACGCTAAGCCGGCAACCACACCAATCTCAGGAACCACCGTCCCTGGCCAGGTTTTTCAAAAATTTGAATTTTTGATTGATCTTGTGCGCAATCATATACTTATCCTTCCAAAATTAACCTGTACTTATCAATTAGGAAATTTTGAGTAAAAGGTTAAATCTTTCTGGTGAATAGGTCTTGTTTACGCCGGGCGGTGTAGCAAGAAATGTAGCTGATTGCATCTTCAAGCTTGGAATTAAACCTTTCATGATTGGCACTTTGGGCCTTGATGCTCCAGGTCTGCTTTATCATACGATATTTGCAAAGACATTGGCTTTTTTTTTGCTTGCTTGGACATTTCTTGGTAGCTTAACTTTTTGGTACTTTTTTGTATTCATACACAGCCAATGCACTGTTGAAAGAGTGGAAGCTCTCCACTGAAGGTAAGACTTGTAGAGTAAAGGAACTTATGCATTACTCAGTTGCAAAGTCTTTGCCTTTACATATGTATGAGACATCAAACCTATTTATGAATCTTGTCTCATTTCTATCTCTCGAATAGTCAATCAACTTTGTAGTCCTTTTCTTCTTTGTCTCTGTTTCTGTCACCTTTGGTCGATAAACTATTTCTTGGTCGATGTTGCAGGAATCTTGAGACGTGAAGACATCACTACTCCCATTGTCTCCCTTGTATATGATATGAATGGAGAAGTTTCGGCTGGTGTTGCTGGTGTTGATGCAGTTGTACGTTCCTTTTTTATGTCGTATTATCGGCTCATCTAGTTGATCTTAGTGATTATGTTCGTTTCTTTTTTAGCATTTTAGTTATGAAATTATTGAGGATCAGGTTACAAACCAAATGATAAACTGAGAATTAAGGATGTTGTTGTTGTTGTTGTTGTTGTACTACTTTGGATAAGTAACTTACATTTACATTGTTTTAATGGGGCAGGAAAAGTTTCTGACACCTGCGTGGATCCAGCGGTTTGTAAAAAACATAAGCTCAGCGCCTGTTCTTATGCTAGATGCAAATCTTAGCACTCTTGCTTTGGAAGCATCTTGTAAATGTAATGCTTATTATTTCTCAGTTTGATTGTCTAATCATCGTTTTGTCTGTCTTCTCAACGTTTTCCTTCTTGAAGTGGCTGCAGAGTTCAATGTTCCTGTATGGTTTGAGCCCGTGTCAGTCACAAAGTCACGGAGAATTGCCTCGATTGCCAAGTATGTGAGTGTTATGTCTCTATACTCATGAAGACTTGATTCCTTTTGTTCTCTATGTTTATTTGCAAACCAACATATTTAAAATTTGTTTCCTGTAGGTAACGATGGTGTCTCCGAACCAAGACGAACTCGTAGCAATGGCAAATGCTCTCTGCACCAGGAATTTGTTCCACCCCTTTAAACCAGAAGAAAGTAAGCTTTCAATCGAAGACATGTTCTGCGTGCTAAAGCCAGCCATTTGGGTTCTCCTTGAAAATGGTATTAAAGTAGTTATTGTAACCCTCGGCTCAAATGGAGCTCTCCTATGCTCCAAGGAAAATCCAACAAGGGCTCTTAACATAAACCGAAAGCTCCCCAAAAGTGGAGAGATTTTCAAACGTGTACAATCGGTATGTTCACCAAACCGGTTTTCTGAATCCAGCCCGGGGCTTTTCGCAATGCATTTCCCGACCATCCCAGCCAAAGTGAAGAAGCTCACTGGCGCAGGTGATTGTCTAGTAGGGGGCACAGTTGCATCGCTAAGCGATGGGTTAGATCTAATCCAAAGTTTAGCGGTTGGCATTGCCTCAGCTAAAGCAGCAGTCGAGTCAGATGAAAATGTGCCTCCTGAGTTCAATCTAGATCTTGTTTCTGGTAAACGAACTAAATCTCTGTCAATATGAAATTAAAGTCTGTGTTTTGGTTATCATATTCGGTTCATTGGTCTGAATATTGCTTTTGTGTTTGGTTTGACTATACAGATGATGCAGAGTTGGTATACAATGGAGCGAAGATGTTATTAGTTCATCAGTCTATGCTATGAAGGATTCATGATCTTGTTGGTTCTATTACTAAAGAATGTAGTTGGCCTCTGTGCTTTGCAATTGTTTTTTTTTTTGCTCAAAATAGAAAGCAAATATAAAATTAACCTTTCTTAAATACTTTCCTAAATCCTAAATCAAATGCGAATGAAGAACCTGTCTCTAATCACACCTTTTTAAGAGTGTGGATTCCTTTCGTAATCTTTCTCTCTAATCTAAAGGTTTCTTCTTTATATAAATTTCGTCTTCTTGCTCTTTGATATATAAATGTCCGGAACTATAAAAGTTAAGCTAAAACTAAATAATAGAAAATTTGTAAAAATTTAAACAAATTAATTACTTCTAGGTAACTTATCTCTTCTTGTCATCTTTCATATGCACTAATGATTTGAGAAGTTGAAGCAATAGGTAGTGAATATAATTAGTGGAAAATAACTAAATATTCCTACCATTTGGACTGCTTCGAGAAATCAAACCGACACTTGAACGAGTATGACAAGTGACTTCTAACTTGATTTTTGTGTCTATCCAATCTCCAATTCATCGATCATTAAACCGGGCGGCAAAAGCTTAGTTAAATGTTTCCGCATGTATATTAACGTATTGCTGGAAGAGCAATTGAGGAAGCAACAATGATAAACAAATGTTTCTTGTCGACTGTGAAACATCCGTGGATTCAAATCGCAGCATGCGGATACATGTGATACATGTTGTCAACTTCCAAGATCAAGATTGCGGTCGCGACAAGGTACAACTCTATATATAAGACGAAAGATACTAATAAACTACCTTTCTTCCCAAACGCTTTACCCGCTATTTCGGGGTAAGTAAGGATCCTAGGGTCGAGTTTAAGGCAACGTTGGATGAGTAAACCTGTGTACCAACTTGTTGCTCCAACTACAAAGAAACATCCACCAGAGGAAAGTGCATAAGGAACAGCCAAGATTCCAACACCTACACGTATACATATGTATATCGTTACTATGCAGTTAGTCTAATTAGGCCAAAAGTGAAAACTTTTTTTACCTGATAAAGAATTCAATGTGTAGAAACAAGCGTGGACGGAGGAAATGCCAACGTCGCCGTCGTTCTCATCGGAATATTCCATCTTGAAAGTTTTGTTTTGTGCTAATAGAGGTGTGAGGAACTTTTATTACTTGTGTTGGTGTCAGTAAGTGAGTGTGTTTATATAGCGGACCAGATAGATTAACCGGAGAATATAGCGGACCAAATAAATAAACCGGTAAATTGGTTATTGAATGGGTTAAGTGTAACCGGTTTTGATTTTTTATCTCATCTTCTTCTTCAAAAAAGAAAACACAAGATAACAGAATTGCCACCAAAGCTCCAATTTTTATCGCCACACACAGCAGAAGAAGCTCGAGGAATGAGAAGATAGAGAGAGCTCACTCAAGATTTCGACGATATGTTTGTAACACTAAACCCTAGGATTCTCCATTTCTCCAAGCTCCATCCTCTTTCTCGACCTTCTTCCTATTTCTACAGAACTCGAAATGTGTCTCTGACCACGAATTGTAAGCTTCAGAAGCCTGAGAATGGGAATCAGAGAAGTAGTAGTAGCGGAAGTCTCACGAAGACCATTTCGCTTTCCGATTCGGCACCGCCGGTTACGGAGGAGACGGGTATGGAAATTTCCGGCGATCGGGTTGTTAAGGGAGGTGGTGATGGTGGTGGTGGAGGAGGAGGAGGAGACGGAAGAGGATTAGGGTTTTTGAAGAAGTTACCGAGAAAGGTTTTGTCTGTTTTGTCTAATTTGCCTCTAGCGATTACAGAAATGTTCACCATTGCTGCTCTCATGGCTCTTGGTAAGTCCTAGGCTTCCTTTTTTAAGATATTGGTTTTTGCATTTAGTATTGAGAAACTGATCAAAGTTTCGTTTTTTAAGGGACTGTGATTGAACAAGGTGAAACCCCTGATTTCTATTTCCAAAAGTATCCAGAGGATAATCCTGTGTTTGGGTTCTTCACTTGGAGATGGATTTTTACACTTGGATTGGATCATATGTACTCTGCTCCTATATTTCTTGGGATGTTGGCTCTTTTAGCAGCTTCACTTATGGCATGTACTTATACTACTCAGATACCTTTGGTTAAGGTTGCAAGGAGGTTTGTTTTTTTCTTCCTTTCTCCGTTCTGTAACTCCTTGTTTTTACAAAAGAGCTCATGAATTTAGCAATTTGCAGATGGAGTTTTATGAAGTCAGATGAGGCAATTAAAAAGCAGGAGTTTGCTGATACTTTGCCAAGAGCATCTATCCAAGACTTAGGAATGATTTTGATGGGTGATGGATATGAGGTTAGGGTTATTTCTCTTCGTTTTCATGTTCTCCTACATGTGTATGAGGTTTTTCTTGGTCTAGTGGTATTAATTTTCCAGTTTGTTTGTTCTGTAGGTATTTATGAAGGGTCCTTCCTTGTATGCTTTTAAAGGTTTGGCTGGTCGATTTGCGCCTATTGGAGTACATATAGCAATGCTTCTGATTATGGTGGGTGGAACCCTTAGTGCAACTGGGAGCTTTAGAGGTTCGGTCACAGTTCCTCAAGGGCTAAACTTTGTCATGGGAGATGTCTTAGCCCCAGTTGGATTTTTCTCAATTCCAACTGATGCTTTTAATACCGAAGTTCATGTTAATCGATTCACCATGGATTATTATGATAGTGGAGAGGTGAGTCTTTTGTTTTGCTTTCTCTGCTCTCTCGTTATGTCTTCATGATTGTAATGTCTTGTGACCTTTCCCAGTTAAATAGAACTCTTTGTTTGATATTCCTTTCTGATGTTGTGTAGGTCTCACAGTTTCACTCTGATATTTCACTCCGTGACCTTAATGGGAAAGAGGTTCTGAGAAAAACAATTAGCGTTAATGATCCTCTGAGATACGGTGGTGTCACCGTATACCAGACAGATTGGAGTTTCTCAGCCTTGCAGGTGACAAAAGATGGTGAAGGACCATTTAACTTGGCTATGGCACCTATTAAAATCAATGGAGACAAGAAGTTATATGGGACCTTCTTACCAGTTGGTGATACTAATGCTCCCAATGTCAAAGGAATGTGAGAACCTCTTACCTTACAGGAACCTTTCTTTATAGCTAAGGCAGAGTATAAGAGATGAAACTTTTTCTTGGATTCTTGACATAGTTCTATTTTGGTGTGTCCTGTATGGGCCTTAACTTTGCTCTAGTTGAAATTTTCAGATCTATGCTAGCTCGGGATCTACAATCTATAGTTGTATATGATCTGGAAGGAAAATTTGCTGGAATAAGGAGACCAAACTCGAAGCTTCCCATTGAAATTAATGGTATGAAGATCGTTATTGAAGATGCAATTGGAAGCACTGGTCTTGAGCTAAAGGTAAGAAAAAACTTCTTGTAGTGTCACCGCACTTACGAAAATTGAGATCCTAGTTTCTTTCAGTATAATATAACATTTTCGTTGTTGGTCTTGTTTCTCAGACTGACCCAGGAGTACCCGTGGTCTATGCTGGTTTTGGTGCTTTAATGCTCACTACCTGCATCAGTTACTTATCTCATTCACAGGTAAAAAATAACTCTTAAAGTCGATATCAATCAAAGTCTTTTTCTGTACCTACGTGCTCTGGCATTTGAGTCTTACTAGAATTTGGTCATCCACCTCCAGCAACCTGTTCATCATTTAACTCTGGTTTCCATTTTTCTCTTATGTGTTTCTGAATCATCATATGAAGATATGGGCACTACAAAACGGAACAACATTGGTTGTCGGGGGAAGAACCAACAGAGCAAAGAACCTATTTCCTGATGACATGAATCGATTGCTTGATCAAGTTCCTGAGTTAATTAATAAGAATACTTCAGTTGTCTCCGAGCAATCTTGATTAGCTCTGATGCATTTCAAGACAGAACCAATAAAGTTGTATAGAATTATGAAAAGGTATAGTTTTCAAGAACACACATTCTACATGTTGCTGATCATCATATGGGAAGAGAGAGGGAGAGGAGCTAGAGAAACTGAAACTCCAGAATTGATTTGCATGGAAGTTTTGTTTAAAGAGTCTTAGCTTCTTCTACACCGTGAAGTTAGAAAATAGATGGTAATTACATTAGTAGCTCTACTGTATCATCCTCTGTATAAAATATTTTTCTCTGTAAATTTTTTAACAATATTAAATTGCCGACAAAAAGTAATACAATAGTGTTATCCTGTATTTAGATAAATGCCAAACTACAAAGTCAAGATCGTCTGCTTTGTCTTTTGTCCTAAGTTGCTCATCAAAGTCAAGATCTTCTAAAATCAGTAGCAACCATGGAGAAGCCAAAGTTCAAAACTGTTCAAGAGGTGGTTGCAGCCGGTGAAGGACCAGAGAGATATCTCCACGCACCCACGGACGATGGCAAAAGTCAACCTCTTAACAGTCCGGTGCCGGAGATGGATATTCCGGCCATCGATCTCAATCTTCTCCTCTCTTCTTCCGAAGACGGTCAAGAAGAGTTAAGTAAACTTCACTCTGCGCTCTCTACATGGGGCGTTGTTCAGGTTTGATTCTCTTAATTTAGTGATGATCAGACATCAGAGTCATGAATCAGAATATGTACAAGTTCTTATTGAAGTAAGCAGGTGATGAATCATGGAATTACTGAAGCGTTTCTCGACAAGATTTACAAGCTAACCAAGCAGTTCTTTGCCCTTCCGACCGAAGACAAACACAAGTACGCAAGAGAGACAGGTAATATCCAAGGATATGGAAACGATATGATTCTGTCGGATGACCAAGTTCTTGATTGGATCGACCGTTTGTTTCTCACTACTTACCCTGAAGATAAGCGTCAACTCAAGTTCTGGCCTCAAGTCCCAACAGGGTTTAGGTAAAAATCCATACTTTGCAATTTCAACACCATCTTGGTTCATTTGGACTCTGTTGATTTTGACTTTAGTTTCTTTCTTCAGTGAAACTTTACATGAATATACAATGAAGCAACGGGTAGTGATTGAGAAATTCTTTAAGGCTATGGCTAGATCATTGGAATTGGAAGAGAATTGCTTCCTAGAGATGTATGGAGAAACTGCTATCATGAATGCAAGATTTAATTTCTTCCCTCCATGTCCGAGGCCAGACAAGGTTATTGGGATTAAACCGCACGCTGATGGCTCGGCTATCACTATTCTCTTACCGGACAAAGATGTCGAAGGACTTCAGTTTCTCAAAGATGGGAAGTGGTATAAAGCTCCAATAGTCCCTGATACAATTCTAATCAATTTAGGAGATCAGATGGAGGTAACTTAATCATATAGATATGATTTTGTAAGATTGATTGGTGTAGGTTTGGCATAATGATCTTTTGTGTATGGTCAGATAATGAGCAATGGGATATACAAGAGTCCGGTTCATAGAGTGGTGACAAACAGAGAAAAGGAAAGGATATCTGTGGCAACGTTTTGTGTACCGGGTCCAGACAAAGAGATACAGCCAGCGGAAGGGCTTGTATCTGAGGCAAGACCAAGATTGTATAAAACAGTGACCAAGTATGTGGAGCTCCACTACAAGTATTATCAACAGGGTCGAAGAACTATTGAAGCTGCATTGATCTGATAATATACTTTTCAAAAATGGGTCTGTTTGTAAAATGGAACTTGGAATGTGAGGCTGCATTGTGCTGTGTTGCAATTCTGAGACAATAAGGGAGTCTAAACTCTAAAGCAAGTTTCCCTATACCAAATACTATTTAAAACAGAATGTTTTGTGTAGCAAACTAAGTGAGGTACGACTCAATATATAAGACGAAAGAGATTAATAACCGATCTTTCTTCGATCCCAAACTTGCTATTTTAGGGTAAGTGCGGATAGTAGGGTCAAGCTTAAGGCAGCACTGGATGAGTAAACCTGTGCACCAACTTGTTGCTCCAATTAGAAAAAATTGGGACCATTACTATATATAACCAACTGATAAGAACACATATATAGAATGTCTTGTACCCATTGATCTTAATAGAGACAAGATCAATGGGAAGAGAACACATACACAAAACTGAAACTCCAAAAGTAATTTGCATGGAGGTTTTGTTTGAAGAGTCTTAGCTTCTTCTACACCGTGAAGTTAGAGAATAGTTTTTTTATAAATGGGTAGGTTTCCTTGTTTGTCAAGTTATATGATGTGTATGTATCTCAATCTTAACTACAATAATTGCCCATCTTGTAGTCGTACTATGATTTGTTTGTTTTTCTAATAACATACTTGCCTCTATTATATAATCCTCTCTTCCTCTGTATCAATATTTTTCTCTGTAAAATAATTTAATAATATTGTTCAAAAAAATTATCAAGATCCTGTTCAGCTGCTCAAGATCTTGGTCCAACTGCCGACAAAAAAGTAATAATATATAGTTTTATCTTTTGGGATAAACTGACAACAAAGTCATCTTATCTTTTAACCCAAATTGCTCATCAAATTCAAGAACGTCTAAAATCAGTAGCAACCATGGAGAAACCAAAGTTCAAGACTGTCCAAGAAATGGTTGCAGCCGGCGAAGAACTACCGGAGAAATATCTCCACGCATCCGCAGACGATGGCAAGAGTCAACCTCTTAACACTCCATTGCCGGAGATGGATATTCCGGCCATCGATCTCAGTCTTCTCTTCTCTTCTTCTGAAGACGGTCGAGAAGAGTTAAGTAAACTTCACTCGGCGCTCTCTACGTGGGGGGTTGTTCAGGTTTGACTCTCTTACTTTAGTGATGATTAAAGTGTCATGAATCAGATTCTGTACAAGTTCTTGATAGAAGTAAGCAGGTGATGAATCATGGGATCAGTGAAGCGTTACTTGACAAGGTTTACAAGCTAACCAAGCAGTTCTTTGCGCTTCCGACCGAAGAGAAACACAAGTACGCTAGAGAGACAGGTAATATCCAAGGATATGGAAACGATGTGATTCCGGCTAATGATCAAGTTCTTGATTGGCTCGACCGTTTGGTTCTCACTACTTACCCTGAAGATAAGCGTCAACTTAAGTTCTGGCCTCAAGTCCCAACCGGGTTTAGGTGAAAAATCCATACTTTGGAGTTACTTAAGCTGATCTTGGTTCATTTGACTCTTTTGATTTTTTGACAAAAGTTTCTTTCTTCAGTGAAACTTTACATGAATACACCATGAAGCAACGGGTGATGATTGAGAAACTTTTTAAGGCTATGGCTAGAGCTTTGGAACTGGAAGAGAATTGCTTTTTAAAGATGTATGGAGAAAATGCTTTCATGAATACAAGATTCAATTTCTTTCCTCCATGTCCGAGGCCAGACAAGGTTATTGGGATTAAACCGCATGGTGATGGCTCGGCTATGACTCTTCTCTTACCCGACAGAGATGTGGAAGGGCTTCAGTTTCTCAAAGATGGGAAGTGGTATAAAGCTCCAGTATTCCCCCCTAATACAATCGTGATCAATTTAGGAGATCAAATGGAGGTAACTTAATCATGTAGATTGTATATGATATTTCAAATGTTGATTAGTGTAGGTTTGACATAATCTTGTGTTTGTGTGTTTGTGGTTAGATAATGAGCAATGGGATATACAAGAGCCCATTTCATAGAGTGGTAACAAACGGAGAAAAGGATAGGATATCTGTGGCAACATTTTGTGTACCGGATCGAGACAATGAGATTAAGCCAGCGGATGGGCTTGTGTCTGAGGCAAGACCAAGATTGTATAAAACTGTTACCAATTATGGGGAGCTCTACCACAAGTACTATCATCAAGGTCGAAGAACTATTGAAGCTGCATTTATATCTAATTAAATATACTCTTTAAGTCTCCTTTTAGGTTTCACAAATGGGATTGTTTGTTTGTTTGGAACTTGGATTGTGAGGCTGCAATGTGTTGTGTTGCAATTCTGAGATAATAAAGACTAAAGAGTCGCTAAACTATAAACAAAATTCACCTATATCAATTAAGCCAATCTGAATTTTAATTCGGTTCTACCTCCTCAGTTACAATATTCGAACCTAATCGAATTTTTTAAAATTTGGTCTTCATTCCTCCATATGTACCCGAATAAATCGAGATTCCGAATACCTCAAGTGAAGTGTCCTATTAGGGAAGATGTCTCCAATATCGATACTTGAATATTTGAGTGCCCATTTATCTAACAATCCCTCCTACATGTATGTACAGTATATAGTGAATGTGATTGAATTAGTTTTTGGAAAGCAATAGCCAATAGGTAAGTAAGAACTTGTGTAAGAAACTAGGCAAAACCAAGTTTTTAAAGCTTTGACCAAAAAAATACATTTTGGATTTTATAACCGAGGCCCTTTTACGATAATTAGTTGATTAAGTTGGGCTTTAATGATTGATTCTTAAAAAGCCCATTTGACAAAATTGAAAGAGGCCCAGCGAAAAACCCTAGACTAACCAAAACATTTCATCATCTCTTCCGATCTGAGATTCTCAGGCGAAGATTTTGTATCTTTTTTTCCGGTAACAATCGCTCTTGGCCGTCCAATTTCTAGTGGTTCATTCTTGGAAGACTTGGTTGATCGGAGATAAAAATGAAGCCAGTAATAGGCACAGTGGTATCGAACAAGATGCAAAAGTCGGTGGTCGTCGCCGTCGATAGACTCTTCCACAACAAGCTCTACAACCGCTACGTCAAGCGTACTTCCAAATTCATGGCGCACGACGACAAAGACGCTTGCAACATCGGCGATCGAGTAATTCACTCTCATTTCCTTCTTCCCTATTTGAAATGTTTTGGTCTCAGCCATTTGAAGTATGCTTTTGGAATAAACTTTTAGACTTAGAAAAAATTCAAGATTTGGTTCATGTGCAGGTGAAATTGGATCCATCAAGGCCATTGAGCAAGCATAAGCATTGGGTTGTTGCAGAAATCATCAAGAAAGCTCGAATCTATTCACCTCAGGCTGCTGCTGCTGCCGTTGCTGCTTCTGCTTCTGCTTCCTCAGCCTCCATTGCTGACTCTTCTGCTCAGTCTCAGATTCCTCCATCATCTACTACTTAAAGGTGATTGATTTAGTCTTCTGCTACTGAGATATCTTTTGGAGCTGCTTTGATGAGAATTGGCTTAGATGCAGCTTCTCCTTTACCATTATATCTCTCTTTAGTGGGTAGTATTGCTGTGTGACAATATGCATCTTGTTATTAGATACTTGAACACTTCATCACTTTACGTTGTGGAATCAATGTATTTGTAGATTAACATATTTGTTTCTTGTTTGCTTCTATACCTTATCTATCATTATGGTTAGCCTGATCATCCCTCTTTTCCTCTTATTGCAGTTTTGTTAGGAGAAACGTGCATGGAATGGGAGAGATGTCTATGAAACAACATAGGCACTGTACTCGAAGTTGATGCTTTTTGATCATGTCTGTGGTATTAGGTTTCCTGAGATGATTATTAGTTATATGATGATAATAACACTGTTAAGAAACTCGATCTTCTTATGTCATTTTGGTAAATTAGTGCATTCATGTTTCAGCAAAAGTGTGAGATACTGATGAGTTGTTGCTAAATTTTTTTGTCATTTCGGGCGTGAGTGAAGGCTGATTAAATGCCTCTTTGGAGTGGCTACACCAATATGCTAAACTAAAAGATCAGTAAAAATCAGTCTTTTCACTCTTTCTTTGCTCCTCAACGTCTGAGATTATGGGAATCTGTCTTTTAGTTAGATATCTCTTATAAAGTTTTTTGATAACGAGTCTTGATATATCTATCAAGTTACAAAGACTTGAGCTTCTATAGACAATTTTGTGTTTGCTACCTATCTATTTTAAGTTTTGTTTTAGAGCAGAGAGGGAAGTAACCAGAGATTGAACAGGGAAGAAGAAAGAGACAAGAACCAAGTCAGGAAAGCTAATGTTGCTGCAAATTGATATCTGTTGCAGATTGTTGGAGGGCAAGAAAATCCGTCTGATCGCAGAATATCAACAACACTAGCTGCTGATGAAGCTGAAGCCAACACTAGAACAGACACCACCTGCAATACAAAAATGGTGAATTCGAATCGAAAACTAGTTTTTTTTTATATACTTTTTTCTCAGTAAGCACTAGATATATACTAGCGTTACCCAATCACCAATAGAGATAGCGAGGAGGATCCGTGGCTTTTGAAATGGTTGATTGAGAAGGACACAATAGATATCGACCATTGCTAATGTCAGATTCCATGGTATAGCTACAGACATGATCGTCACCAGGAAGCTGCAGATTTGTTTGTAGGATTGTTAGGGTTCATAAGAGAATGTTATATAGAATTACGAGCCAATTTACCAGAAAGCAGTGAATTGGTAGAAGCGAACACCGATGGTCATGAAGAGAAGAGCGCCAAATGCTAATACCGTTTGCCCTACCCTTAAGGAAAGGCTTGCGGTTGTGCCCACAGAACCAGGAACCTCAACCATCACCAGCGTTTCGCTTGTGTCGCACGAAAGCTAGCGCTTTATAATTTAAAACTCGATAAAGATGGAAACTTTTGACATGGGTCTGGAAGATGTTGTGGGATTTTCAATTAAATCATCTGGGTTTTCGTTTTCTGGTGCAGACTAAAGAGATGACGATCATGATCATGACGAAGAAGAAGAAGGAGAAGAAGGAGAAATAAAAGTGAGACAAGTTGCTAGTGTTTCTGGTTCGCACGTTGTTTGTGAGTGTTACGAATGGTGGAAAAGAGAAGACTGTTCATGTTGAAAGAGTTGTGGTCTGTATTCATCAGACAAAGCAGAGCAAATGTCGGAGAAAACTGTTTTATGCAACACTTTTTATTCCTTCCTTCTTCGTTTCTTAATTCCTACTTTTTGAATTTTATTTTATCCCAAACCACCTTTGGAATTCATCCCAAACCAACTCAACCATTACTATATTTGCAATGAAAGTATCTTAATTATTTTGGTTTACAAAAAAAAAATAAAAAAATAAAAAAATATTATCTTTATTCTTTTTTAATAATTAATTTTAAAATTCTTATATAGCATATTAGATATCTGACAAATAATCCAGATTTTCTTAACAGATATCCGAACTGTATAAACAATATATATATATATATATATATATATATATATATATATTGCTGATATAGAATGAAACATATTACGCCTAGATAATTAGCTGATGGTAATATAATAATTTCATAGCTAAATTTAGAAATCTTTTGTTGGTGTTATGTTTAATATGTTAGTTCAACCTCAACCCCGTACACTATAATATTACATGGACAAAAAATACACTCTTGGATGCTGTGATGTATTTAGTTACAGTTGTCATGTAAAACATATACATATTTAGTTACAGTTAAATGAAAAATAAAATTGATATTTTATATATTTATTTTGTCTTATTAAAATTTCTTAATTTACTCTCATCTCATCGCTATTTTCCTAATTTTTTGCTCCCAAATTTATGGTTTTACATGATTAATATCAATCACTAAAGAAAAAAAAAAACGAAACAAAAAACTATGATTCACAAAAGTTAGGGTTGAAAAGCTTATAGCTGATCTAAGCTCAACCTGATCCTCTATACGAGACATAAGTAAGAAAAAGGTTAGTTCTTTCTCGTTGAATTTACTAAGTCTTGTTATCGTGAACCTTGATTTGATTTAATTAGCGGTCTTTTTCTTTCTTCTCTTCTTCTTTTGCTACTGCCGTTAAGGTCTCTTCCAAGGTTTTTTTTTTTTTTTTCTTTTGGTCTGATTTTTTTGTGCGTTGTTATGTTTATCAGTGAGGCTAATTTAGAGCGAGCAGAGGAGATTTGAAGTTTGGTTTTAATAATATGAGCAGTATCTGTGAGCTTTGCGACGATTTGCTCGTGAAGATACTGTCATTGCTTAAGACAAAAGAGGCTATTGCCACGAGTCTTTTGTCTAAACGATGGATTTCTCTGTGGAAACTGGTTCCAAGGCTTGACTATGGTACTCCATTATATGCGACAGGTTCAGATTTTATTGACAATTTTTTGCTGCTAAGCAAATCTCCAGTTCTAGAAACAATGCATCTCAGACTTGGGGATAATTGTGAACCTGAAGCACATGAAAGATGGGTTGATATCGCAGTTGCTAGACACGTGCGTGATCTTGAGCTTATTCACTATCGTTTCCATTTAAATCCCATGCCGTGTCCTGTGAGCTTGTTTACATGTAAAGGCCTTGTGGTTTTACGCCTTCAACAAGTGATGATTTGGGATATTCCTTCGACAATATTTCTCCAATCCCTCAAGAATCTGTCCCTGCTATGTGTCAGTTTCCTCTCCGGGGATGAACTTGTTCATAGGCTCTTATCCGCTTGCCCTATCCTTGAAACCCTCACTGTACGTCGATGGCTCGCTGACTTTGTGACGACCTTCACAATTGCGGTCCCGTCATTGCAAAGCTTATATATCATGCAGAGACCAGATTTCCATGGAGAAAGAGATGATCGCGAGTATGTCCTCACTACTCCTTCTCTAAAGACTTTAAAAGTTCTGGATAATTTTAGTCGGTTTCGTTCGTTAGTGAAAATGCCCAAGTTGGCGAAGGCAGAGATCAAGATTAGACATGAGGACTCTGAGAAGCTCATGGAATGTCTAATCTCAACCAAACACCTCTCCTTGTGTCTTACCTCAGCTGGCGGAGGACAACTTTTAATGGCAAAATCTTTTGAGTATCTCTGCCAGCTCGAGTATCTAGAGCTATGTACTAAGTGCTCATCAAATTGGTTATGCCTTCTACTCAGACATTCCCCTAAACTGCGAGTTCTGAGGTTAAACAATGTAAGTTATTTTACTCCATTCATAAATACGTTTATTGCAGCTTCTCTATATCTCATTTTTGTTTATATGTCAGAGAATTTGCGGCCTGTTTAGAGATGTTGCAGCTCAGTGGGAGCAACCATGTTCTGTTCCTGAATGTTTGGTGTCGAGTCTCGAAACTGTTGAGTGGATTGGATATAAAGGAACAGAAGAAGAAAAAGAAGCAGCGATATACATCTTTGACAAGGCTAGCCACCTCAAGAGGATGACCATATCCGGAAAGATCACCAATTTGGGAGAAAATTACTGTACGCTGACAGATTTGGCATCCAGGCAGAGCTGTTCTAGCAAATGTCTGCTTGAGGTTCTGCCCGGAGAAGCATTGATATATTAATAGATTTTTATTTCTTTCACTTCTTAGCTTAGCATTTTGGTTTGTAGCCACTTTAACAATATCTTAACTAAGTTTTGTGGGTGTTTTTGCAATGACATTTCAGTGCAAGTAAGAAGAGTCTCTCCCCTTTTTCTTATTCAATTGTATATCCTTGATTTTTAGAAAATTACAAGACAACACCTCAGAATTTACTAGCTTCACTAAAATTTTGACGGTTAAAACACCTCACCAAAATGGATCTGAGAAGTAAATTTTGCAAATGCTAATAAATGGTAGAATTGATGGTCGATAGTCTCAAAAGGTAATTCGTTGGAATTTGGAGGAGAGAGTCGACGAGAAGAACAGAAACCAAAAATAAATACCAATAGTAAACCACTATATAACTATATGTCTCATGACTAGGTTATTTCAGATCCAAAGAGCAAGAAGATTACAAAAACAAATACAATGTCTTCCATTGCTTCATGCTGCATCTACCTCACCGCTTCAACACTGCACAAGATGAAAGAAGATAGCGGCTTAGCAAACTCAAGACATTTGAGATCTCAATATGACTAGAGAGATCACAAACATAATTTATATGACTTAGATTATTTGACAACTTTCAATACAGACAATCTTGTCCTAACATGTTCAGAAAATATTGAAGATTAACATTAATGTTCCTTCAAGAAGACTCTCTCTCATGCCACCACAAAAGAAGCAAACTAGCTTTTGCTTAATTAATAATTACAGTCAGACAACCCCTAATCTCCAAGGGATATTTCGGTATGTTAGATAACTTATTAAGTCATAATCTGAAACATATATTCTTGGGAACTTATTCTCATTAGTAAGGCTTCTAAAAACCTAGTTTAATACAGACTAGAGAGATCTTAATATGGCATATGAGGAATCTATGTATAGATCACACACATTCTCGACAAACCTTTAAAATCACATTCTAAACTACACACAATCTTGTTCTAACATGTTCCAAAAATATCAAAAATTCACATCAAGGTTCCTTCAAGAAAACTCCAATCCAGAACAAAAGAATCAAACCAGCTTTTGCCTAAGCATAACATAACCAATACCTAAGTCTCCATGGGATACATCGTTAGATATGATATTCTTGTATCAACAAGTGAGCCTAATACATAAGCTGAAGCAGATTAATGACCCAAACATCAATATGCACTGAAATTTCCAGTTTCTACTTCTGATCAAACTTAAGCAAGTACCATAACTCGATCCTATAGCATTACGCCTCAAAGCTAATCAATTTAATCAAATTTCTATCAGCACAAATCTTGCTAAAAGTCAGAATCTACAAAGCAAAATAATATCAAAAGGGAGACAAATTTGATAGAATCCGAGAATTTTAGTATCCTGACCTGAAAATTCAAAGTGAATCAGAGGCTTAGAACTCGATCTTGAGCTCATCCTTGGAATCGGAGAAATACGAGAGGACGTAGGGAACAGCACGGACAACGACAACCCAGCTGCCAAAGAGAGCTACATGAGTACGAAGCTGCTTCAAGGCCACGGCTTTATCTGGCTTTCGCATGAACATTCCTGGAAACATGGCTGCGATCTTTCTTCTTCTTCTTCTTCTTCCTCTTCTCTCAGATTGTGGAGCTTTTTTTTGTGATTCTAAAACCCTAACCCTCAATTAATTTGCCGTCTCCTCCTTTTTTACAGTAAGATATGGGCCTAATTTTGGATCTGGGCTTTAAATTAAAGCCTTTTAGTACACTGATTTTGGATCGTAAGATATGGGCCTAATTTTGGATCTGGACGGTTTTAATTTTCTTTAGTTATGAAAATCATTAACCGTCGTTTTGGTTAAAATTGTATATGCTAAAAAAATCACTTATACGACTCTATCACTCTACCAAATAAAAACAGTTGAGTTAATAAAAAAAATATTATGTCTTTTTACAGTTATTATCTATTGTGTTTTTTCTGAAAAAAAAAACTTTAAATAATTTTTTGTTCAAATATTTCAACTTAAAAAATACAAATGTACTAGGTCGAATTTAATGTGTAAAGTAATTTTTGAGTATTTTCAAAGAGTTTGTATGGTGATATTCATTAATTATTTTAAAATTCTATAAATTTAGGGTTCTTCTCCGAGTGTTTGATTTTATAGATTATTTAACCTAATTTTTAAAAATTGAAAGTTGTAGCCAACAGTTATCCGCGGATTATACTAGATTTCGTAGTAAATTAAAAGTAAACTAGTGAGAAATGATATTTGCCAGATTTTTTGAAGAAAACCTTAAAGTTATTTTGTTGCAATATCAAAAAAAATTGTATGAAAGATTAATTTGAAACAAGTCGTCTTGGTACAGTGGTAAAGGGAGGTAAGTCCCGCCACCTGGGTTCGAGTAGCATTGGCCACAGGGATTCGAGATTTAACATGGTTTTCCCCGGTCACAGGAGATTAGTCTTTGGACCTACAAAGCCTTTGGGATCATGAGTTATCGAAAAAAAAAACCAAAAAAAAAAAAAAAAAAATTTGATTCAGACAGTTTAAACTGGTCATATGGTTGGTGTTATTTGATACTTACACTACAAGAAAACACGTCATTTGCGACTCCGAGTAACGTCATAAAATGGTCGCAAACACCTACTTCGCGACTACTTAACGACTATAACAGATGGTCGCTAAAAAATGGTCGCTAAATATATTAGTCCTGAAATAGTCGCAAATGTACGACCACTCTATGACTGTGAAATATAGTCGTTAATAAGGGACGTTTTACAGACCTTTAATAATCAGACGTAATACTTCTTTCAGTTACAATACAGTCACAAATGTGTGTTTAAAATTTGCGACTAATTTATGACCCAATATATACGGTCTGAAAGTCGTTTGATATTGTAACATTTGTGCAACTAGTTGGGTTGTATATTGAATTTAAAATGGTCACAATTTGGTGATATTTTGGCATCTAAGAATCTTGTTTAATTGACCTAATTTGATTACCAATCTAAATAAATGACGAAATACAACATTAAAACCCAATTAATTAAATTAAATATCATCCTAATCATAAATTAACAAAGAAACCATCATCCTAATCATACAATAAACATCCTATTTCTTCATAACAAAAAGTTAACCAAATAGTTAAGCATATCATGTTTATGAGTAGGAAGGTTAGACAAAGGGGTTATGGGACTGGTGGACTAAACTAATATTTATCGAATTCTTTTTAGGCTCAAACTCACAATGTCTTCATCGATGTCATGTTTTGTAGCAAAGGAAATGGAGATTCTGGTCCGGGCAAGTCACTTATTTTCCTACAGAATTTAAAATGTAGAGCAGAGTTAATATACATCACTGAAGGTGATTAACACGTTAAAGTTTGTGTACTTACAAGTTTGATAACTTTCTCAGAGGACCAATGGCACTAGGAATAGGTCCAACTAAACCACTTGCTTGTATAACCCTTATTGATGAAGCAAAACAAACATTTCAATCTTTTATAAGTAAAAAAATACCGATATGGAAAGTTTTCGTCGAAAGTAATGCTTACAGTTTCCCAAGTTTTGTCCAGTGCTGGATGAAATCTGGTATAGTACCAGTGAACTGGTTGTCACTTATACGGCGGTATAGTAAAGTTAACCAAACGAGGTGGCACGTGCAGAACCTGTCACGGCAGCTGGTTCAGTACTTGTCACAGTGGCTGGTGCAGTGGCTGATTGTCCGGTGGCTGCAGGTGTGGTGTCAGCTGTGGTTGCAGGTACAGTTGGAGAAGAAACCAGAAAAGATGCAAATTCTGGATCTTTGCCTTTCATGTAGAGGAAAAGCTTTTGCAACTGCATTTGCGTTTGTCGGTGCTCCTATTCACGTCGTGCATTCTCAGCCTCATGATGAGCCATGTTGCGACGAAGTTGTTCTTGAAGCTCCAAAACTGTTGATGAAGAAGAGCTTTCATAAGCTTGTTTTCTTTTCCCTTTCTTCAGTGTCTCCACAAGTGATCCCAAGCCAAAAGGGTTGCCCTTTTCATCTGTTTCAGTACACTAAAACAAACAAAATTTAACTAAACCAATTTTAAAACCAACAACATTCAGACCAGCAACAGAGAATTCAGATCAGCAAAACAAAACAAAAAAAAATTCAGACCAGCAACAAAAAATTCAGACCAAATAGAGAACCATCAGTATTCACACCAACAACAAGTATCATACGTTTATCATGTACATAAAGAGATGAAAAACCACAAAGCAATTCACACCAATAACAAACAAGCGTCATATGCTTAACAAATTATGAGTACTACAGAATTACCTTAAGAAAGATCTCATTCTTTTCACTAATGCTGAGAGTACGTTGAGTTGAATTTTCAGAAGAAGTTTCTGGACCATCCTCGTCAATTTCAGACAGCTTCTCTTCTAACGTCTTCTCATAGTGCTCAGCTACTTGTTTAGCTTTTTGATCAACAAATGATCCGTCAGCTCGAGTATGTGTTCGCATAAACACTTCGCCAAGTGATACAGGGCGTCCTAATTCTTCCTCCTTCAAGGCAAATGAAACTAGTTAAAATCAAGAAACCAATATCTGAATATAAGTGCAGTGAATTGTTTTTATGGACAGAGAAGTATTACCATTTCTTGATGAACTTGCACAAATGATTTCTGACACGATCGGAGTTTCTGCTCTGTGAAGCATTTGAGCTCCTCTCTATTACATCAGGGTCGTTCCAATGAACAAGCTATTACATCAGGGTCGTTCCAATGAACAAGCATCTTAGCCCACAGTGTATTCGTAATCCAAATAGGTTGTTTACCACTTCTTGGCTATTACCAAGAATCCATCTCTAACAAGCTCAGTAATATCACTATCCCAGTTGAACTTCCGCTACATAATACAAAAGAGTTAAGTAAGCAAAGATACTAAGTCATTCATGAGTGATAATAACACTTTTAAAGCTATATGACATTTTACCGCAAAAGTCCTGAAATATCTCTCTCGAATGGATGGAGGAGTGACCTTCCAACTGTAGTAAGGACCATCAAATTTCCTCCTAAATATTCCAGCAATCGCTCGGGAAAGTATACCTCTGTGCCTATTGAACCTGCCACAAAAAAAAGTATTAGTGCTTATTAAAGAGAGTAGTAGACATTACATGACACCACACACCAAAATATTACTAGAATCAGTCCTTATCAAACTCATTTCATCTAACTAATGTCTTATTGAAGCAACAAAGAATTAGAAAGAGTCCAACAAAAAAGTTAAGTTCTGAGATCAAAATAAAGCAAACAAAGCAGCAATTAGTTACTTTTCTAGATGACTAAAGCAGACAAGTTATGTTCCTCAAACTCATATGAGAAATGATATGAAAAAGAGAAAAGGAGAGACATTACCAAAGAGTCTCAACGCCTGGGATAGGATCCTTTGACAGAAGAGGTAGATGTTGTCGGCCTGGAAGAGCTAGCAAACGGTTTAACAAAGCTTGGCTGTCTTCGTCATTAGGGTTTTCTTCTTCCTCGGGATTTTCTTCTTCAGCAGGACTAAGATCATGGTTCTCATCATTTTCATCTTCCTCTTCATCATCTTCCTCCAGCACTGGTTGAGGAGCATGAGGCGCACGTTGAGGAATACGAGACGGTGGTTGTACCCTGGCTGGATATTGTGTCGGAAGTTGTCTATTTGACTGGGTCACGGACTGTGACTCCGATCGAGCCACCGAGGAGTGAGAAGACGCTCCGATACCACTCCTACGCCCGCGTGAAGGCTCACCAGAAGAGATCCGAACACCTCTGGCTTCTTCACCTCCGAGAGAATGCTCACCAGAAGAGATCCGAACTCCTCTAGCTTCTCTGCTTCCGCGTGAACTCTCAACATTCTGGACCTGAACAATTGTGGCTCCTTTTCTTCCCCGAGAACTCTCACCATGGAAGACCCTAACACCAGCAGCAGATTTTCCTCCACGACCTCTTGTAGACTTTCCCTTACCAGCCATTAGAGAAGAATCGATTCAGAAGAGAATGAGAAGAGGAGAAAGTTGAGAGAATTTTGAGAAACCCTAAATCGATTTTGAGAAACGATCGATATAAATGAGAAAACGTTTAAGTCTTTTTCCTTGTTATTAACGAAAGGGGGTCTCAAATTAGTCACAAAAGAGAGACAAAGTAAAAAAAGGGGGGGAAGATAACGCGCTCAACACTTAGCCAAATTTCACAAAAAAATTAGAAAAATAAAGAGAACCGTAGCACATGAGTCGCAAGTTAGTATCTAATTTAGGTAATTAGTCACAAAATACGTTACATATTCGTTGCAAACTGTTACGGTTTAGTGACGGTTTGTTCTTGGTCACAATGCAAAATTTTGAATTCTATTCGTTTTGATCATAACTGATGAACCCAAGCATTAATAAGAACTTATGATGGTATTACAGTATATTGTATGAGTTTAAGAGTATCAAACATTGTTTTTGTTGGTTTTTTTCTTAAATTTGACAAAATTACAAACATTCTTTAAATTGATTTACATATTCTGAAATTTTTGTATTTTAATATTCAAATGTAAAGCTTTAAAATCGTTTTTATAAATGATTCTGATCATATCAACGTAAATACGTAAACACAAGCATGTTTACAATCCTCTTATGGTTTTGTGACCGTCGAGCGTTGGTAAAGGGTCGCAAGTTAGTATCTAATTCAGGTGTAAGTTGCAAAAAGTGTTACACATTCGTTGCAAACTGCTACGGTTTTGTGACAGTTTTGTCGTGGTCACAAAGCAAAATTATGAATTCTATTCGTTTTGCTCAAAACTGATGAACCCAAGCACTAATAAGAACTTAAGATTGTATTATAGGGTATATTGTAATAGTTTAAGAGTATCAAACATTGTTTTTGTTGGTTTTTTATGAAAATTTCACAAAATTACAAACATTCTTTAAATTGATTTACATATTCTGAAATTTTTGTTTTTTAATATTCAAATGGAAAGCTTTAAAAGGGTTTTTATACATGATTCTGATCATATCAACGTAAATACGTAAACGCAAGCATGTTTACAATCCTCTTATGGTTTTGTGACCGTCGAGCGTTGGTAAATGGTCGCAAGTTAGTATCTAATGCAGGTGTTAGTCGCAAAATACGTTACACATTCGTTGCAAACTGCTACGCCTTTGTGACATAATTTTCTTGGTCACAAAGCAAAATTTTGTATTCTATACATTTTGTTCAAAACTAATGAACCCAACCACTAATAAGAACTTAAGATGGTATTCTAGAGTATATTCTAACAGTTTAAGAGCATCAAACATTGTTTTAGTAGGTTTTTTATGAAAATATCACAAAACTACAAACCTTCTTATAAAGTAACATGTAATTTATTAAATTGATTACATATTCTGAAAATTTCGTATTTTAATATTCAAATAAAAAGTTTTAAAATGTTTTTGTCATTGATTCTGATCATATCAACGTAAATAAATAAACACAAGCATGTTTACAATCCTCTTATGGTTTTGTGACCGTCGAGCGTTAGTAAATGGTCGCAAGTTAGTATCTAATTCAGGTGTTAGTCGCACAATTCGTTACACATTCGTCGCAAACCGTTACCGTTTTGTGACAGTTATCTCTTAGTCACAAAACAAAATTTTGAATTCTATACATTTTGATCCAAACTGATGAACCCAAGCACTATTAAGAACTTATGATGTTATTCTAGAGTATATTGCAACAGTTTAAGAGTCTCAAACATTGTTTTAATTGTTTTTTTTAATGAAATTTTCACAAATTTACACACCTTCTTATAAAATAACTTGTAACACTTTAAATTGATTTAGATCTTCTGAACATTTCTATGCATATAACACAAATAAAAATAATCTTAATCTTGAGTATTATAACAAAAATATAAACAACTTTGTGACCAAATTATTGTTGCAAATAAGACGCAAATTTGCTACTCTTCGTTCTTACTACAAGTCTAGTTACTTAATAGTCTCAAATTGTTGTTATTTTGCGACCATATAGATTGGTTACGCCATCGTCGGTTACGCGTCGCACATAAGAGACGCGTTACCGACTTGTTGCTGTCGTCGCAAGTTTGCGACGATTTTGCTTCGATTATTGGTGTAGTCGATAAAGTGTCTCTGATACGTTGCAAAATGGTCGCTTATATTTGCGACTAAAATAACCGTCATAACGTTTAGTCCCAAAATGCAGGTTTTCTTGTAGTGTTATAAGTTATTAACAGTTGGATACATGCATGTATACTTAACTTAAGTACTTTGAAAGAGAACTAGAGAAGTATAATCAACAAATGTAATAATACATACGGATACAGTATATTGGATCGGATCATCGGACTACATGTATGAATTATGAATTATGAACTATGAATTATGAAATAAGTTTAGCTAGATTAGACAAAATTGTGCATACCAATAGCGAAAGAACAAAATGACCTTCTCACTTTAAAGTTCAAAGTAACGCTTTTAATTAGAAAGTGTTAAAAGCTTAATAAAGTAAGACTAATTGTGTAGAATAGTAGAGAAGTTAAACAAGTAATTAAGGAGTAGATAAATGTAATAATGGTTCCATAACTTCTTCACATCAAATGGCACGACGGAGTCTCTTCGCTACCGTAATGTGATCTGCCACCGTATGGGTATGGGAATGGAGGAGGTTGGCTACTGTAGCTATCGTAAATGGGCCTTTCATAATACCCATTGGGTTGAACCCATTCGTAGTTAGGCCCATTAAACGGATGTGTTACCATTACTGATTGGGAACTTGGACCGGCTGGTGCGGCCTTCTCTGGTTCTTTAGGTTTTTCTGGTCCTTTAGGTTTTTCAGCTTCTTTGGGCTTCTCAGGCTCTTTGGGCTTTTCGGCCGGAGGTTTGGGTGGGTCGATGGTCTCGATGAGCTTAATGGCTCCACGTCCTTTGGAACAGAGTTTGTCCATGACTTTCTCAGGACTACAGCAAACCACTTTGATTGTGACCGTGTTGGACTCTTCATCGAACTTTATGTCTCTTACTTCTGTAGTTTTTTTTACAAAGCAATCAAAAGAGAACAAAAACACACACACACAAGTTATTATTATGTCATATGAAACTTTCCAAACCAAAATATGTAATGAGCTAGGCAAATTAAAGGTGTCAAAAAAAGGAACATACGAGATAAGCTGAAAAGAGCCTTCCAGACTTTTGTGAAATTCTTTTCGGAGCTGAGAGGTTCTGTCTTCAATTTCATCCAAGTTACCTGTGTTTTATTCATTCTCTCATCATATGATTTTCTCATTATTTGTATAGATTTTTTTTATTTGTAAAATAAGTGCTAGATAGTTAAGGGTTACAAAAATAAAAATAAAAGGGAGACTAGAATAAGTGAGAATAGATTAAGAGGGAGCATATTCATTACCTTCTCCGTACCCTTCTTGGCCATGGCTATGCAAAGAGAAAGATCGAAACTATGTAGAGTTGAATTAGCAAAAAGAAAACATGTTCTAGTGTAATTCTAGTATATATAATGCTATATATTTTGGAGTTTCATTAGAGGCTTCCAAAGGAAAAAGAAGTTGTAATATTGTACAATTTACTTTTCTCTTGGAATGTATTATATCCATAGGTATAAGGTATTATTCACATATATATGTAGTCATAAACAATGTAAATTTTCTTGTTCTTTAATATTTCTCTTTCCTTTTTTTGGTTTTAAAAAGTTTACTTACAAAACAAGATTTTCAAATTAAAAATGAAAAAAAAAAAAAGTAAAAAAGATTGGTTGATTCGTAGCTCAGATCCGAAAACCAAACTTATGTACAGTACTTCCGAGTTATTGTTTTTTCGCAGCACTTTAAATGAACGAAAGAGTGTGTCAAGTGGTAGATCCACGTGAAGGAAAACAAACCATACTGTACTATTAATTATTAACAACTATTTTTTGTCTTAGGTATTTTGAAAACATAAACTTTGTCATTTTCTAAAATATTTATTCATTTTTTTCTAAAATAATCATTGATTTGGAGATTTGAGCTTTATGTTTCAAACTGATAGTGAAATTGTTAAGGTTGGGGAAATATTAATGATGATTGCAAATATTACGGCAATCTCAATCTAATTGTGCCATAATATTGCTAGTTGGCGTTGAATTCGCATTTTCGGTTCAGACTCTGTATATCAAACAAAACAAAAAGAAAAATATCAAACAAAACAAAATTTTCGAAAGATTATTTTCATAGAAAATATTTTGAATCATTGATTTGGAATATTTTGAATCTTTTAACTCTAGTCGTTTAGCTCATTAATAGATTTCATAATCATAAGCTAGTAGATATTTTCTTAGAGTTATATGTAATATGTATGATAGTATCAAGTGCTAATAGTTCAACTAGTAAAGATTTTTGGCAAAAGCTTAGAGGTCGCCGGTTCGAGTAGTGTGTGGCACGAAACCATATAACATGTTTTGGTTTCGGGACTTAGGGGATGTATAGGCTTCTGCCCTGAATCTCTTTGATTATTCAAAAAAAAAAAATATGTATGATAGTTCTCCAAAAGAATATTTTTCTTTCTCATTTTCATTTGATGAAAATTACATATAACTGAAACTGATGAAATAAGAATTTTATTTGGAAAGAAACGATAAGAATTGAAATGATATAAATTTATTAATTGAAATTAAATGGGCTGACCTTTGTGAAATTAAAAATGACTTATTTGAGCAGGTCGGGAGACTCAGAGAGTGACCTTTTCTCGCTCGTCCATATAAATTCATTTAAAGATTAATCAATACAGTTGACATTTTTAAAATGCTAGTATTAATTAGGGATATGTGGTATGATAGATTGATCGTAGCTACTTAATTGGTTCGATAATTAATACCAAAATCTAGCTATGTTTAAGGTTTTATTAATCTTCCAACACTTGGTTATTTGGCTCATACACCATATTATTATCCTTCATTTAACTAAATATACAATTCAATATTAATTCTTCTTTTTCTTAAAATTCCTTATCCATCAACCAAATTACATGCAAACGCTCACTTTTCAAATAGTCTACGTTTGGTGTAATTACTCTTTTACTCTTTAGGTTTCTTTACAATATTCAAACCCATCAAATCTACTTGCATATTAACACATAGATACACAAAAGCTTAGATAAAAAAACAAAACAAAAGAGAAGGCTCCTAATAATAAAGGCGCAATTAAAAACCGGTCAGGAAATACACCAAAATGTGAGACTGAAGGAGTTATTGCTCAACTACTTCCTCTAACTCATAACCACAATCTCCAAACTTCACCACCGATTCACATAAGACTTTTATTAACCCTTCAAAGCATTTCTTTATTTATTTTATCCAATCTTCAAATAGAGACACTCTCACTCCTCATCTTCCTCATTCCTCATCCCTCCATATCCCACTTTCCTCTTCAATCAAAGGGGTAGATTCCTCATTTTTAATTATTAACACAAAAATGGCTTCAGCGGCTGATCATGTTTTGGTGGTGGAAAAAGGACGGCCAGCCACGGCCGATAGCCCATCGGCTGGACCGGTGTATCGATGTAAATACGCTAAGGATGGCCTCCTAGATCTCCCTACTGATATTGATTCTCCTTGGCAGTTCTTTAGGTATGGATCTTAAAACCCTTCATAATGATTAATCATTTGTTGCTCCAATGCTGTTGTTCAATTTGAGCTAATTAATAATTAAATAATTCTTGAATAAGATATGTTTTTAATTGATATACTTGTTTCATACTCTTTGTGTCTTCTTGTATATCAGTGAGGCTGTGAAGAAATATCCGAATGAGCAAATGTTAGGCCGACGCTTAACGACTGATTCTAAGGTACAAATGTTATATTATATAGTCTCTAGTATTACTTAAAACTTTTTATGTAGATCATAATTATATGTTTGTGTGTGTATGTAGGTTGGTCCATATACATGGATCACATATAAGGAAGCCCACGATGCTGCAATTCGGATTGGATCAGCAATCAGAAGCCAAGGCGTTGATCCGGTACATTCCTAGCTATAATGTTTTGATCCAAATCAACCAAGCGTGTGTGTACTTAATTTAAAGTCATAGGCGAAAACTTAAAAAAGTACTCTATTTTTTTTTTTTTTTTGGTGTTTGTCGGGTAGGGACATTGCTGTGGAATCTACGGATCCAACTGTCCAGAATGGATTATTGCAATGGAGGTAAATTAGACATATCTAAAAATTTTGCCATTTTATTATAGAGTACTCTTTCTAAGTGATTTATATTACAGGCCTGCATGAGCCAAGGGGTAACATATGTGCCTCTATACGATACTTTAGGTACTCTATGCGGATCAAATATATTTAGAACATATTTTCTTGAAATCAGGCTTGTCTTCATATATAAATTCATGACTAATGAAAACCTAATCCGAGGTTAAAATATTGATGAAACAGGCGTAAACGCAGTTGAATTTATCATCAACCATGCTGAGGTTTCGCTAGTATTTGTTCAAGAGAAGACAGTTTCATCCGTAAGACATTTAATTGAAATCAGTCATACCAAAATTCCATTTTACGTTTCTTGTGCGACAAGAACCCCTCTTTATTGGTGATTAACTCTTGAAAGCTTTTGTGTAGATCTTATCGTGCCAAAAGGGATGTTCTTCGAATTTGAAGAGTAAGTTACAAGTTCGTAAATCGATAATATATTTCGAATAAATATGATCTTTGAACCGATAACTATCTTAAATATTTATTTTCCCCTGATTTTGGTTTTTAGCTATTGTGAGCTTCGGGGAAGTCTCGAGTACACAAAAGGAAGAAGCTAAGAACCAATGTGTTTCTTTATTTACATGGAATGAGTTCTTACTAATGGTCAGTGTTTAATTTATCACTATACAAAAAAAGACAACTTAATTTTGCAAACATTTGGACTAACATAGGATTTACTTCATCAGGATTCCATGTTTATTATTATTATTATTTTTTTTATCTTTCTAGTGTGAGTCTTAATTATTTATTTGAACATTTTATCAGGGAAACTCAGATGAGACCAAGCTGCCACCTAAGCAAAAGACAGACATATGCACAATAATGTACACAAGCGGGACGACAGGAGAACCCAAAGGTGTAATCTTAAACAATGCAGCAATCTCTGTCCAAGTTTTGTCCATTGACAAAATGCTTGAAGTCACCGATCGTTCGGTAATCCTCTTAGTTACAATTTATGTCTTTTAATTATGATGCCGCGCTAATAGCAACGGTTAGTGGTAATGATGATTTACCGATTAATTAACAACAGTGACTAAATCATGTTTATTTTATAATTGATGGTTAAATAACACATTTTGACAATATTTTCGGGATATCAAAATCTTTTGAGTAATTAATATTTGTTACTCAAATTTTTTTTTTATTCCATCAATCCCTAAATAAACATGATTTGTTTTCCCGAAACTTGCTGCTAAGCTAGTTACTTCAAAACATACATATGGTTTAGTTGTTGTCACTGCCACTGCTCGGACTGTTATGCATGGGACCAAAGCTTTGGAGATTTCAAATTTAGCTGATACATACACAACTGACAATTATATTCTGGTTTTTGTTTTTTGAAATTTTGTAGTGTGACACGACCGATGTGTTCTTCTCGTACTTGCCATTAGCACATGTCTATGATCAAGTCATGGAGATTTACTTTTTATCTAGAGGCTCCTCTGTTGGATACTGGCGTGGCGTGAGCAAAATTGTTTCTTTTTAACAAAATTTTGAATCTTTCTATCTTCTACTTAATGTCCATTATCTATTTCGTGTGATAGGACATACGGTTCTTGATGGATGACGTTCAAGCTCTAAAACCAACTGTGTTTTGCGGTGTTCCACGAGTTTACGACAAACTTTATGCCGGTAATATGGTTGATCTAATAGAATATTGGACTCTCCTTTTTATTACAGTTTCTTGAATTTCTTGTATTGGGTGTAGGTATAATGCAAAAAATATCAGCTGGTGGCTTGATACGCAAGAAAATCTTCGATTTTGCTTATAACTAGTGAGTTTTCTTTGATTCTCCAAATTATTATTTTTGAAAACCTGGACTTTAAAATGATTTAACATTTTAAATCATCTTGTGAATATAGTAAATTGGGGAATATGAAAAAAGGATTCTCCCAAGAGGAAGCTTCTCCTCGTCTAGACAGACTTATGTTCGATAAGGTTAGTGTGTTATCTATAATGGATGTAGACATAGATATGATTAAGTCTAAATATTACCACTTGATATACAATATTTCTGTATGACATATTTTGGAATCAATTATTATAGCAAATGTTAATTTGTTTTATAATACGGATGTAACATATAGTATATAGACTTATAGATTCAGAAATTGAAATTGTGACAGCTAAAAGAAGCATTAGGAGGAAGAGCTCATATGTTGTTATCAGGTGCAGCGCCTCTAC